TACTTTTTTCATTAGTCTTTATTGTGACTTAATGGCTGCGGTTATGAAGTCGTCAAGAACCAAAGCAATTACTAAAAAGCTTCAAAGAGGTAAAATGTGTAAGTGAATGTGAAGCATGTTTGGGAACAACCCCAAATAGGAACAAACTGCAAAATACAATTGAGATAAATGATCCAGCTATGACTAAAAAGACAAGCTGCACACTCACCCATCCCTGCTAAAAAGGAATCCACTTAAGAATATTTTGGGGGAAAACACAAACAGAAAAAAATCCTGCTTACCCTAACGAAAAAAATAATCCATTCTCAAGGAATCTTTCATAACCAGAGTATCAAAAATGGCACCATTCAAATTACACAGTACATCTCACTAAAGACTGTCTTAACATGACACTGAGCGGTAACAGGAATTTAAGGATAACAGTAACATAGGTTTAGCATTAAAAAAAGAAAAAAAAACCACAACAAAAAATCAAGTTATTCACTCCAGCTGTATTTTTTTCCTCCTACCTATTCTTTGGTTTTTTTGGTGGTAGTAGTGGCTCATTCTGAGAATAAAGCTTTTCTTGGTTCTATCAGACCTAACCATAATGCATATCAAAGGTTTAACATCTTGTGTGGAGAGCAGAAGAAGATTTAGTTATGACAATAGGATTTGCCAATTTTCTGTAACATGAATACTTAGCATTTATGTGACGCTTTTAATCTTCAAAGAGCTTACTTCTCACAGTTACCATCCTCAAAAAGAATGCCATTAAGTATTATTAGCCTGTTTTATCCATCTGTAAAGTATCTCCATCAGGGCACACACTGTCACATTGCTATTTGGATTATGTTTGCTTGAAGCAAAGCTAATCAGTACAGGTTCTGTGACAACCCTTCCCATAAGACTAGTGCGGATAGGAATTGCTCCATAATAGCCCCAACAGTGAAATAATCCTCCCACCATCTGAGCACTTAAATCTTATTGGCTATATTTTATATCTTCAGGAATTAAAGGAGCCTAGTTTTATATGCGTACCAGTCCAACCCTGGAAGCCACAGCAGAAACCTGAAAGAACCTGAAAAATTCAGAAACCTCTGCAGATCACCAAAATAACTTTTGCCATATGTATGACCACAAGTTGAAGTGCAATAGACTGCAACGGTAGGGAACAAAAGTAATTACTGTTCTCAATTAAAGAACTGGTAAACTCGTTCTCAGTGAGTGAACACAGCGATTTCTCGCCCTGCTTGCTCACGGGATGCCGTCTTTCCCTGCCACAGACCCCTGCCAGAGCACTTCTCACTTCTTCAGAGATGAGGTGCTGTTACTGCTCTAATTCTCTGCATAAATTATTGCTGACCCTGGAGAAGAACAAACACACTCTGCTAGCTGACCAGCACAGCCAGGCAAGGAATCAGGACGGAAAAATAAAATGAAAGGAAGCAGAGACCAAAGTTTTAAAGTGGTTTCAAACACAGAGCATAAACCATCTTGCAGCAACAGCACCGAGAACCCTGAACTCCCCTCCAACAGACAGAAGCATGGACAAAAAATAAATCCAGACTTAAGGAAGCCCTAGAAGTCAGCAACCCTGTCTGGGACGCTCACCTTCACCTGAACACAGTCACTGCTCATTGCCCAGCTTCTAACACCTTCATTCCACATTTTTCTTTCTTTTTCCACTACTATTTTCTTCTGATGCTTCTTCACAGTTCACAGTTTGTATGTGATTTTCCTAGGATGACGGTTTGAGCTCTCAAGCTTTTCAGTATTTGGAATGGATATTTACTCCAATTTAGATTAGAAACAAAACTGCTCTTCTGAGCTGTCCCTTCACTGAAGGTTTGTATTGCCATAGGTGAGCAGAACAGCTTCTGCCACAATTCAGAAAAGCTGTTTCCACTTTATTACCACCATGAAAATCAACTAAACATTTATGCTTAAGATAAGCAAAAAGACATGATATAACTCATTTGTAAGAAATAAACAACCTACTAAAATACAAAACAAAAGCAAATGCCAACTGTGTAAAGACATAAGGACCTTGCTACCAAATACACTGTAATATTAGAAAGATTTGATAACCTCTCTCCCAACAGCACCTATGCAGCTATACTATGAATTGTCCTTTAATTTAAAAAAAAAAAAAAATACAGACTAAGCCTGAAAGTTAAACATAATCTGCAACTTTTGCTTAGGAAGGCAGTGTTTCCTAAAGGCTTTAGCGAGGACTAAAGGCAAGGAGTTCTAATTTGCAGTTGTTGGTATAGTTTTGATCAAGTCTTTACTCAAGTGTTATTTAGTCTCTGGCAGCTAAAAGAGCCAACTCTAGTAAAGCACACTGCTTTAGTATTATTACAAGTAAAGAATAATAAAAGGTTCAGATATTTATACACTGCTAAATTTTAATTTCTAAAGTTAGAAGAAAAATCTTAGAAGTGTTTTGGCACAAACACAATACAAACAGCTGATGAACAATAAAAGGCGCTTGCATTTTGAGCTTTCTTATTCTCAACTCCTGGGGACACATTTGTCTAAAATATAAACCCCAAACTCAGATGCAGAGTGAACTATTTTAGTGTCAGGTCACAAATTTATTTCTTCTGTTACACCGTTATAAACACATGATAACAAACTTGCTATAAAATCTGTGAATGGCTGAAAAATAAAAGCAGAATCACAGATAGAGACACTAGCCCATATAGTCAAGAAAAAAAATTAAAACTAAGATGTGATTAGTTCTGGGACCCTATTACATGTTTGGTAGAAGACCAAGAACTGAATCAGATATTTTTTTTTTTTAACAGGCAAGAGCAAACAATTAGCATCACTATTTCCCAAACTCCATTTCCACTGCTGCATCTCCTGTTAAGAGAATTCCACATTAACGTCTGAGGACTAATATTTTGAAGAGCTATCCTGAAAGACACCATACTAGTTTTAAGTATAACTGTGCTCTATTACAAAATTTATCTCTAAATATATTCATCATTAGATGTATACTATTCCTACGGTCCCACATTCTGACAAACGAAACCACATATTTAGATCAGCTGTGTAACAGCTCTATGGGAAAACGCCTTCCAGTTAATTTTACTGCCACTGACCAGTTTAGATTGATGTGATGACTCAAATTTCAGAGTTTCATATAAACACGCTGTCCACTGTTTCACAGAAGGGAGGCATAGACACAGAAAAGGTATTAGAACGACTTAACACCAAGAGCTACAATGCCCTGAACAGCGTCAGCAGTTGGAATCTCTCCCTGAATCCCTGAAGAGACTCACAAGATGTCCCCAAGGACGTTACAGTCTCTATCAGAAGCAGTACATTTACATAATAAATTGTGAGCGTTTGGTATGAAGAGGTATTTAACAAATATTTTATACTTCTGCCGGTATTTCGCCAGTGTTCTATAGGAGCATTAGTGTGCATTACGGTGCCTTCCTCCTCTAACCTATCTACATTGCAATCTGCTCATTAGTTAAAGAACAAGATTAGTTCACACAAGACATTTACACAGCTATTCTTTAAGCAAGGTGATTAGAAGGCAACACCGAATTGCAGGTAACACAAAAGAAGGGGGGAATTTGTTAGTGGCAAAAAGATCAATTATAATTCTTTAGGAAAAGAATTGTTGTTCGCTGCAAGACTGGAAAACAGGGACCAAAAAGTTCTCACGTTACTTTTCCACTGATAACAACCTTCGTCTACATCCTCACAGAACACAGAGCAGGCTACACAGACTGCACTATCTGCTCCTACAGATTTTTTCCTAAAGCAATGCTGCTTCAGCTATGGGAAGTGCAAATCCACTTTTCTAATTTTTAAGCTAAAACACAGGATTTAACTATATCCCATTGTTAGGGAAAACGTAAAAACCTTCTTCACAAGACTAGGAAATTTCCAGTGCAGAGTAAGATTTTGTTTCTGGATAACACCTAACAACTAGAAACATGGATTGAAAGGAAGTGCTTCTTCAGCCCAAAATAGATTCATGATGCCATATTCAAGTTCATTTTTAGAACAAATTTAATCTGCAAAACTGAAGTTCTCATAATTACTATCCCAATACTTTCAGTTCTTTTTTCTCTGCATCCACTGACATATTAAATCTGGCACTTCCTGTTCTGCTTAGGTTTCTGAGATTCTTCCACTTTTTTTTTTTCTTCAACATTTCAGAATTTTTAAAGCAGAAATTTTCCAAGCTAATGAAATAAAATTAATCATTTAAAACAACTATCAAAAAATCCAGCTAAATCAGTGTTCATTTGTAGAGCTCCACTAAGACAGCAGCATATACCTGTTAAAGTACTTCAGTTCATGACTTGCTGCCAGTCTGCCACAGGACAAAACCTGGGCATTTCCATTATCACTTTAAATTAAAATAAGGAATATCAATACAAAACACAAAAGAAACGTTAAGTATACATTCTGTGTTAAATACTTCACATGAAATTAAACTGTATGAGCAGATGACAACTGAAAGACCAGTTAACAAAAAGATAGATCGAATGTGGGTCAAAATCACAGCTTGTGAGAAAAAATTCAAAATTGGTTTAATTTTTAAAGGACAAGGATTCCAGTTTTATACAAAATGCAATTAGCTCTTATTTTGGCCCGGTGACATCGTCTCTCATAACTTCTGGGTCCAATTCAGATTCTAAATGAAGCGAAATAGTTTCAAAGGATTAGGACATTTTAAAAAAATAAATAAAATAAATGTTATACAAGACGCTGGGAAGTGTAGCTTTGTCTTCCCTTTGCAGTTGCTGGTTAGAGGCATGTACAGCACCCTGAGGCCTCACCCCAGACCCGTTCTACACGGCCTTTCTCTGTCACTCACCACAGGAACCAGCAGCCAACCTGACCAGAAGAGAAATCAAATCCCTTTTTAAGGTACGGAATGTCTCGCTGACCGTTTATAACCATTCTAAAAGTCAAAATTGAAGCGTATGGCAACGTGCAACCCCAGATGATATTTCTGCCCATCTTCTCGGTTTGCCCAGGGTTACCTGTTCCAGAGTACGGGACCGTCCTGTTACTTTCAACAGCATCCTTGTCCCAGAAACCGCCTGGTTGGCTGGGCATTTGCATTCCACCTTAATGCACCGGTGAACACATTAACCTATGCAGCTTACTGATACCATTCCAGAAAAGAGATCGTTATTTTGCCCCAAATACACTACGATGACTTGCCAGCCTCATCAGCACAGTTCCACGTGATGGGAGAGGCGTTATGTGCTGTGACAGGCTAAAAGGAGAAGGGAGGGGAGGATTTAAACACCCTAGAGATCACGACATGTCACTTGATATGCCAAGTCACCCTACCTGAGATAGCTAATCACTTTAGTGGAGGTAATGATTCAGGTAAACTGCTTCAGTGCTTTCACCATTTCTACATGAAGCAACATAAACAGTGGGAAACAAACCCTGGTCATTACAAACTGCCTTGAGTATTGTTTGTCTGAACTTTTCTCAAGCCTATCCTATCTTGCCTCAAAACCAAATAAAGGCCTTATTGCAAATGTTATATTTTTAAAAGAAAGTCATCTGGTAAAACTATTAGTGTGTTTCTTGGCTAAGAACTCAGCCACGTGTCAGTACTACACTAAAATAATGAAGGAATTCTTTTTTATTGTCATTATAATTAACGATTTAATGGTCTACACAGAAAAACGCTGTGATTGATTATAACTTGCTGCAGTTTTTAAACAGATTTGCTGAACCACTACAAAACTCTACGCAGACAAAGATCAATATTCAAACCAAGATCTGAACCCAGCTTATACCTATGGAGAACCAAAAATCCAGAACTTTTACACCAGTTTAATAAAACTGCAGTTAAAAGAGATGCACTTTTCCCAAACACGTCCCCACCTAAGGACTACAGCAAATCTCCTCAATTGCAAACACAAGCTCATAAAAAAACCTCCTCAGAGGTGTTAAAATTCATTATATAAAAAAGAAATGCTAAGTATTATTACACAACTAAGCTGAAAACACTAAAGCTATAGAGTCATTACTACCAAAAGTAAAATGTCCCTGAAAAAAAAAAAAAAATCACAAAAGAAAATGTGCATTTGGATTTTGCCACTCTTTAGGCAAGCAGGATATTTTTCTTTCAGTAAGTGCTAGCAATAATAGAGTATTCAAAGTTTTGTGAATTAGACCATTTCAAACTCTTAGGCAGAATCTACCTTAATGGATTTTTCTTCTACATTCATCTTTGCCCAAAGGCGTCATTGTCTCATTACATAAATGATCTTTTCATATGAAAATTAAATGTTAGAAATGCTTTTTGTAGTTCTTCAATACTGCACATATCACATGGACATTCACAGTAATTCAGACTAAGTATAATTTAAAGAAAAAGCAACTGCTTCAAGCAATATAACAAATTAAGAAATAACTTGATTTTAAAATACTTAAAAATTGAAAGTCTTACTTAGAATTAACCTCCAGAACTTTCTTTCCTATACGGAAACTTAAACTAGGAAGTCATCGGTTTTATTATGAATAATATCAAAGACTAGACTGTAAAATGCAGTTCTGAAAACACACGTGCAGCACTTGGAGACCCGCACATATACCTCCAGCATGCTTTCCATCTCATCGGACGCTCCCAGTAGAACCCAGCTAGCAGTCAACACCCAACTGGAGCTCACCTACAGTTCTAACCAAACGCTGTGTGCTCCTGGGTAGCCTCCACTGAACATCCAGTCCCATATGTTATTCAAAATAATTCTGTGAGTTACCACCAAGCAATTCAGTACTGCTGACTCCCTAGGGTGCAGTAACAAAACGGATAGCAAACACGACGCTCATGACAAAGGCAAAGGCTGATCAGTCAAGGACAGGCAGAAAAACTCTCAGTACGTCTGTCTACTCATTAAGAACACAAATTTACTCTCATTCAAGGACAGGCAGAAAAACTCTTAACGCTTCTTCTACTCATCAAGAACACAACTTCACTTCGCAGGTGTCCATAAGTACCCAGCTCTAAGGTTTTGTGGCGAGACACCAAACATTTCCTGATGCCCTCAGTCAGCAGTAGTAAAACAAGACCACAGCTCCCAACCCAAGGAGGAATCCAGCACCCACCTGGCCCAGCAGGACTCAAGTGGATGCACAGCTCCCCGCTGAGCAAATCTTTAAAATTAAGAGACTACTGTTAAATAACCCAGGAGGCCCTAAAAAGCACAATTGAGTAGGCTCCAGTTTACAGAAATCCTTGAAATAACTTAGTCAGTGGACAGAAATAATTCTGGTATTTGAAAATGCAACACTTGTTCTACCTCTCTCCTCCACTTCTGTATGCTCGCCATATTTTGAATTTCTTCTCGAACCAAAAAAGAGCAGGATCATTTTAAAAATAAGTAGCAGCTAAGTCATTCAGATGCCATGATAAGAGCTCAAGGACATACGACTTATTAGACCTACCTGGCACTCCACATATACCCAATTATTTAGAACAAATGTACAAATTCACAACCTAACCAAAAATATACTCAATTTTCAGAAGATCTTGTAATTTTTCAAATGACAGACAGCTGTAACATCTGATTTCTTCAAAACCAGAAAAATCATAATCAGTCCTATCACAAAGCAGCAGTTGTACAATAACCTTAATTTACGAAATTAAATAGACATATCATGCCTCACCTAATCACATTAGTTGCTAATGCTATGTTCTCTTTTATTCGCACAAAGCTTGTCATCCCTTCACAGGCCCAGTGTTTGAATGTGATTTCATTTTTTTGAGTACTGAAGAACTGAATGCCTTGCTTATTTTATGAAATGAGACAGTAGGCTGGCTTCCCTTGCAGCACAAGTAAAGGGGTTGAGGGTTGCTTTACTCATTTCTCCCACAGTGCCAGCAGCCAGAAAGCCTGATACTGTTACAGGTCGAGTACAACAGGACTCAAGTCACCTCCTCTGTTTTTTTTTTCTTTCACATTTCATTAGAGATGCTTCATATCATTTTGGAAAGCTTCCTAGCTTCTATTTTGGTCTTATTTATTTTTTTTTCTGTGGGATACTTGTCAGGTACATTTAGGACCCCAATGTTATACTTCACAAAAACAAGGCTTTACAAAGTTCAAGATGAAGAGAAATATTTCACAGAATCTATCAGGTTGGAAAGTATCTCAGGAAATCACCTAGTTCAACCCCAAACTTGAAACTGGGTCAGCACTGAACTCAAACCAGCTTGTGGAGTGCTTTGTCCAGGCAGGTCTTGTAAACCTCTAAGGATGAAAATTCAACAACTTTCTCTGGGTGTGTGTATTTTTTTTAAAAAGTACAAAAAAAAAAAAAAAAAAAAAAAAAAAAAACCTAGAAACTGATTAGAAAGGGGTGATCATGAAAATAACTGATTTCACTGATTAAAACGCAAGAAATAAAGCAGAACAAGCAACAGATGAGCTATGAGATATATAGGCATATAATTATAAAACAAATATTTTGAGTACTCAATTTTAATCTACATCAATATAAGAAAATATATTACATATGTAATTGCCTGATAGTGTACTTTTAGCTTACATCAAGATGTTTAACACTCAAAATGAGGATTTGTTCAGCTTATCCTTTAACTTCCAGCCACCACTGGAATGATATTATCTATTTACGCTCATTTGGCAGCTTTCCTGACCGCTTTGATTTGAATCTCTAGTAACATGCCAACAGGACAGAAATGCATCTAATATTATGAGACTACTATTATTTAGAGACACGATTCACTGGTTGAAGTAAGAAACCAGAGGACAGCATTTACCGAATCATATTTAAAGGTTTTGAGGGCTTTTTGCTTTAAGATCTTACAACTGTTTCTCGTTCATGAAATGCCTACATTCTTAAATCCTCTTTCACAAGACTTACACCACTGTGTGCACATCCAACATTTGAACGCTTACTCACCAAGTAGAGCTGGACTTGGGAACCATCTAAGAATTACTAAAAACCTACTAAAAGGTATGCGACCATCTCCCTCAGAACCACAGCACTCACAGAAGCCTAAGCAGAAGGCAACCTTTTCCTCTAATTCATGAGTTTTCAATTGGTATTTCGTAAAGAACTTCTAAAGACCACAAAAAGCATCTCAGGAAAGGAAACTTACTGTTAGTTGACATAAGTTCACTACACAAATGTTCCTCATTTCCAATAGGAAATAACAGGCAGTTATAAGTAAGAAGAGGTTGAAAACCACTGAGTACACTTCTCTAAACTTGGAACCTGAAGTAAAAGAAGAGAAAGTGGTCACTGCAATTTAGCAGATGAAGAATTACCGATAAATAACCTCTCTTCTAATAGTAGCCTCTTTTCATCAGTTCAGGGAAGTTTAGGTTGAACTCCCCAAGTCACTTGTGCGTTGTAGCACATGTTCAGCAGGGACTACTGAGGTATCCTCCCCAAACAAGCACCAGAACTAAATGCCAAAGTTGTGAAATAATTACTGCTCTGTGAATTTGAGCAGCTCCTCACAGCTCTACAGATTTATAAACAGGAAGTGTGAAGCTATGCATTTGTACCTGCTTTAATCATATGACAGAGCCCTAAAGCCATCAAATACCGGCTGACATAACAAGTCTCACTGTATAACCTAGGCTGTCTCAACAGTGGATCCTATTCATTCTGATAGCTAGGAAAAAAAAAAAAGTCTGAGAGAGATCTAGGCATTTTCATCACATGCATCTGAAAACTCCGAGCTCCTTAAAACCGGTTTATACCCCCTAGAAAACAGAAAACAACATAGCCTGAAGAACATTCTCCTACCTACAGTGTTCAAGCACTGTTTTTCAGATATGAGAGAAAAGAAGGTAGAACAATTGCCTTCATGGGATAGAGAAAGAAAAGAATAAACCACTAAAATCATTCCCTAATCATTTTTCCTAAAAATGCATCTGGGATTTTAAAAGTTAATTTCATAGTCTGCAGTAATAAAAAGTAGTCTTCTGTGGGCTCAAGGACTGAGTCCCTGGATTTTGTCACCAGGTTGAGATCAAGACAACCTCAAATAGATGATTATATATTTGCACAAGTCTTCCATCATCCTTTTCACAGATTTATTACATCTGTATGCTTGAGGATGTTAA